CCTTCTGTATGCGAGCAGACACTTCATCCGTGGTGCGTCCACCGGTTGAGATGTAGCTGCCCAAATAACAAAACTTATCCATTGGCTCCATTACTTCCCTAATTGCATTGAGTCTGGGTGCTGGAGCAACCCAGTCTTTTAGTAACATTTTACATTTTGAAGGTGCAAAACGAATACTGAACATGGCTATGGTGGCACTCAAGCTATTCAGAAAAGCTTGCAGGTTACCTGAATCTTCACTTAGTAGCACAATGTCATCTGCACACTCCAGATTACAGTCTACCGCCTGGGAGGAAATCGATGCCACTATCCTCGCACGAGCATAGGGCTGTTTCCATAATCAAATATATCACAAAGTTAAACAGAAAATTAGAGAAAGAGCAACCCTGTCGAACACAACTTTCCGTGGTGAACTCGGGTGAAGAAGTAACGTAGGCTCGGACTCAACTTCGGCTATTAGTATAAAGGGATTGTAATATTGATATATACTTCTCGGGTATACCTTTCCAATAAAGATAGCGCCAGAGTTTAGAGCGGTCGACTGAGTCAAAAGTCGCTTTCAGATACAGGAGGACGGAGATAGTGGGTCTACGAAAAGATTGTCGGTGCTCCATGATTTGATGAAGAGTGAAAATGTGGTAGACAACCTCGACCAGATCTAATAACAATCTGGTTCTAATATGTGCACTCTTCACGTGCGGCGCACGATCGATGGAGTATGATCCCAGCGAGAATTTTAAACGATGTTTGTTAAACTAATCCCTCTTTGGTTTTCATAAGAGGAGCGGTCACCTTTATTGTAAATCGGTATGATCACTAATTCACACCATTCCATTTGAACCTGTTCCTTCTCTCACAATGAGCCCAGGAGTTTTGTCAACTCCAGGACTAACGCTTAACTTCCACCTTTGAACGCAGATGGGAACAGCTCACCCGAGCCGGAGGCCTTATGTCTTTTGAGATAAGCTATTTCCCGGGACACCTCCATTTCAGACGGAGGATTGGCATCAACTGGCAGCATTTGTCCAGTCGCGGTGGTGGTGGTGGTGGTATGTGTGTGTGTGATAGGTTAGGTGCCGATAGAGGCCGGTTGAACTGAGCTTCAAAGTGTTCAGCCCATCGACCGTGAATCAGTGTGCCATCAGATTCCTTAATAAACTCACTTTCCTGGGGCCCGTTTTTCTAATTAGACGGAAAAGAGTGCGACTAATACCGATAGCCGCAGCCTTCTCCATCTCTCTACACTTTCCTACCCACCACTTCTCGTTATCATTCCTCAGACTCTTGAGCTGGCGTTTAAGGAATTTGCGCGTTGTCAAATGTGGCGTCGAGAGAAAGGGTTCTGTTGGTGTCCAGCAGAGAAACTGAGGTCGACGAGATCCATCCTTTGTGTTCTGAGTCTACGCCAGAGTTCACCGTTGTTGTTATCGACAGTTGCATAGCTTCTTTGATTTTTTTTCCAGTGTTCATTGAGTGCTTCGGCTGGTGGTTGAGCTGATGGCTGATCGGAGAGCTCCGCTTCGAAGGCCGATTTGCAACTATCACTGACATTGTATCGTGGGTGGCTTTATTGCGGTTATTTGCCAAGCATGTAATAAAAACAATTTATAATATAATGTTTAAATGCTTAATGTTTAATATAATATGGAATAAAATACTTCAAACTATGCGAGGAAATTATACTTGCCTTATCGATACGCTCTGCCCTTCGTTTGCGAACAATTTCTGCTTGTGCCCTACGACTTGTTTTGGTAATCTTTTCGATGCATCTTCTTCATCATCCCTATCCGTGCTTGTGTTAACCCTCCTGTTTACATCCTGCTCCTGCCTTACTAATGATTCACCTTATTCTGCATGCCCTAAGACGTTACCTCACCTTATACCCATACTCTGTTTTCATTCACTATGCTATCTCAAGTACCAAAGGTCGATACACCACTTTCGTGCAATCTGCGTTCTTGCGTTTTATGATGTTTTGTATGTTTCTGGCCGACCGGTTTGATCGTTACCGGTTTCCATCACTTCGTGACTATGGGGTCCACCTTGTCCACTGTTCATCACAAGTGTGCGTAACAAAAAAATTATCCCGCCGTCCCACATTTTTCCTTTTGATCCGTGCAACTAAGTCCGATCTTTACGTTAGCTGCCACCCGCCCTTCGCTACTTAACCACCACGATTCGTAGTCCCTGTCCTTTAAATAATGCTAACACTCCTGCTTTCCATTGCTTTTATGACCCCCCTGGTGAACATTGACATCGGACGGTATAAGATCCACTGTAATTCTTGAAACCAGATTCTCCTCTTACTGTCATTCGTCGGGGATCGGATAATTCGCAAACCCCAAACTGGCTTCTGTTCTAGTTTTCATTCACTTTAATTCCGCTCTCTTTGAACAGCATCAAATTTTCAGCAAATGGCTGTTGTTTATTCCTCCAACTAGGAACACAATATCATCTAAGCGTAGTCCACTGACCGAATGCTGCGGCAACGCATTCCGTTTGCCAAAAAAATATTAGAAAATAGCTCCGAAGGTCGTTTCTTATTTCAAACGAAGTCACTGTTATCAATAATGCTATCTCGGATCGCTCTGACGGTAAAACATTACGGTAAGCATTATGCTATTTTGTGATCCAGTGTTGATCTGACATGAATGTGGAGTAAAATACTAACAAGTATCATTTTCAATGTACGCCTCACTTATTCGCCAAGTACCGGGTATTTCTTGTGCCTGCACAAAATTTGCTTTGAATCATCATCGAGTCATGTTACTGATATGAACTATCCTCTAAATGGTGTTAATATTGACTACGAATAATAACAGATTTGCCTACCCTCAATGTTACTCACCTGTTTGAGAACAAATTAGACTTCGTTACATAAATAATCGAAGTGCCCTGTGTAGTACGGAGTTTAACTTACGCGAAAATTCCATCACAACATTCGTTCCGGCTTACTTCCTGTACCCCCGTGGAGTAAATATGCACGATCAATCAATCTGTTTGTATTTTTCCAATTATTCATAGGAGATATTCAGGAGCTTTATGCACGCGCCAGCTTGGTTTTTCATCCTCAATCGGTTGATTTGCCAGCCACATGGTAACGGTCCTTATGCTCGTTTGTTCGTTTCGTCATTAAATTTTGCTCAAAATTCCCTCGAAATTTTCAGCGTTTTCGTATATTGTTTTTCTGGTTCCTTTTCATTTTTTTGCTGAATTCGTTTCTCCTACTGTTTTGAGAAAAGAAAGTCATTCAATACGTTCATTGCTAGTGACCTCGTGCTATCTAATCTGACACTATGTTCGTCACTATAGTTTTATTTCACGCCAGACGGTGTCAAGCAAGTCACAATAAAACTATCTTTGAAACAATCCACGGTTTGCTGAAAGTTGGAATTAACGATTCACTTTACAGGAATCATATACTTATTGAATTTCGTAGTAGGAATACTATCTGGTTGCTCAAATCAAAGCGGGCGATTCTTTAGGGATTCACACTTGGGTCGTCCGGCTAGCCAGAATTTAACTCACAAGGCATTGGGGCGCAGTAAAGACGGTTGTTCAATAAGTTCTATTTTCCAGCCAAACCACTAACCATTAAGATCACGGCATCCTAGCGTCCAATTCGTATTCTTTTTCATAGATTATAACTCAAGGTGTTCTAGCTCCCCTTAGATGAGCTAGCAGTTCATGTCTTACCACTTCAAATTTGGCTCCGTATACTGACTTCTCACCCTTTTCTTCCAGTGAAAACATCCTCGCCACGGAAGTGTAGTAAGTAGGACTTCCCCAGTAGATGCTTCAGGAGATGTACTCCACGAGAGCTTCTTTTGGGGGCGAGATTGAAGCCTAGAAAACCTTATAAGAGGACCATTGAAACAAAATATCCCGTTTAGTTGTCACCGAAAAGCCAATGAATAGATCTCATTGTTATCAGAGTTGACAAATGCATTCCAACAAGGTGCTCAGTGCGAAACAGCGAATGATAGTTGGGTATATTATCCATTGTAATAGAACCAATTTTTGTATCTAATAGGTGATTCATAGAGACGTTTGGGGATGAACCCATAACCGATGTACAGTCAAATACCTAAATGTAGAGTATCAACCAAGCTCAGTGATCACATTTTCTTTATGAAACCTTGGGATGAATAGTGCCCACACAGGATACCCAATCTCTTTTCGTGCGAGGTTGTGTTATCCTAAGTCATTAACCTTTTTGAGTGGCGAATCACATTTATACGTCACGATGCCGTCGCCCTTTGTGGTTTCTTCAAAGAGCGCACCGTTAAGCGATAACCCCACCGCACGTTCTCCAAGATCGCTAGTAGTCGTCCATAGGTACTTATTTAGTGAGACTAACGCGTTGATTCATCCTTAACCACAAGTGTTTTCAGGTCCAATCGCGACCTTGAAACGCGCTTGGTTGCTTTTAGCTGTGTTATCTGCAGTCCGTGTTACCAAACACTATTATAAAATTAGATCTTGCTATTTGTCCCACTGTTGGAATGACACTATTCAAACATTAAACAACGCAACTATTTCGGTCGTGAATTCTGTCGCATTTATATCAACAACAAAACAGCTCCTCGAATTCATTAGAATAAGTAGATTTAACGCCTGCATTCACGTCTGAGCGCTAAGTTACCTAAATTGTTTGTAAGTTTTCTATCAATAACCGAGGTAATGTCATCACCAGAATAGCAACTCACCTCGGCTACTGCGTCAAACGATGTGTCCAGCCAAGAGAACAGCTAATCACAAACCTGCTCACCGCTGGGGTTTTGCACCGATCCTCAACAAAATACATTGTGACTCCATTTTCGAGATTAAATGCGGTTTCAGTGCCACGACGGTTATTAATGGTTATTGGATACCATTTTGAGCGTTCTGTCGCATGCATGCTGTTGCAGTTATTCTTCAATCGCGTTTTTGTCAAACTTTTAACAATTCCCATTTTTGCATGTGTATTTTTTACGTTTTCCACTTGCTGAACACTTTCAATGTTTAATCTCGAACTATTTAGTCCCAAGCCTAGTTCGAAAAAGCGAAAACGAGATGAGACTGTGGGAGCGGATGTACCGGAGATTCCTGTGGTCGATCCGTTTAATGAAATTGGGGACTTTGGGAATTTACAAATTCCCGAGCTCCTTTCCTTTCCGACGATCAATCCGGATTTGGTTAGTCCCTTTGATTTAGTATGACAGTTTTTGGGTTTTTGTTATTATCATTATTAATTACATGGCATTGATATAGTGGATAAAATCGATCCAGGGAAAAACGCATTTACTGGAGTTCATAGATTTGGCTTCTTACTAGAGTGGTGTTACTTTAGCTCACATCTCCCAAATGTTTTGGCCTATGCTTGACTTGTGAACCTGGCCACTGGTACTACAACCAGTGCCAATGTTATTCACTACTTGCTGGCTTCATGCCTTTTCAAGCTGTCCGCTTGGATGAATGGGTTTTGTCACGGCAGTATTGGGGCTAAAGTTAGTGTAAAACGACCAGGTCGATGATAAACCTTACAGAACAAAATCTATGGACCCCAGGTGTAGCGCTGACTAATCAGCTCAGGAATTCCCCTAGGAACATTATCTCCGCAGGGAATTTATGCTATCGCCGTATACTGGTGACATTATTGAATAGAATGAAACTTGAATCAAACGATCCGCTATTTCAGGCCGGATTTCTCAGCTTTTTAAGAAGACTTCCTTCATTGCGGTTTCGTAACCTTCACCGTTTACTAATCAACCGAGTTCACATCGACACAAATTTGCCACATCTAACCGTGGATATTTTTTCGGACGATTCACGATTCATGTGAACAACGTTTTCAATCATTTCAAAATGATCACCTAGGAGAACGAGATCAGAGACAGTCTCCTGAAAATGAATGTAAATAAAGCCCTGCAACCAGGTCATGATCTTCTGCCATTTGAAACATATACTGAACAACGCAATGGGTATACGGACCTCTGAATATAGGTTTGAGTAACTTGCAGAGTCAGAGATGAAACTGTTTTTGTTATCCTTTTCTAATTCTTGATTTATGTAACGTGGAGGCGATTGTCCACCGTTGACAATGGAGTCTTCTACGGTTACTTCCAAAATAGTATCTATTTTCGGAATAAATTCGTACATTCCTAAAGGTGAGGCCTAGTTTCCACCAGACCGTTACGTATACGTGACCTTCGCTCAGCGTATCAGTAAAATTCCATAAATTGATTGACACCTTACATCTTAGAGCTCGTGGCTTGCACTAGATAGAGCTAATTACGGCCGTCGCCCAAAGCGCAACTTTTGCCATTCTCATGATTCCTGGGGTCTATTGTTGCTCACGGTCGTCGCACTAATTTTTAAAAATTCCCATATTACCTGCTGTGTAAATGGAACTCGAGGTAACTTGGTTTCTTCCCCCAAAGGTTTGCAAAATCACATAGAGGTTCAGATTATGATACTCCGTTGAGCGTGATCATAGCTGTGACGAAATCATACTTGGCCCTAAAGGTATGAGTTCAGTATGGCTTGAAGCTTCTTTTATTTGTCTGTTTCTTCTGGTTCGAGTTCACTGTGAGACTATTTGTCTCATCAATGACCCTAATATGTAACTCGTATTCACTAGATCACCTGCGAGCCGTCGCTTCATCATCCCCATTTTACCGCCGCTAATTTAGGTTTTGTCCAGCTGAACTTGTTTCTTTCATCCCACGATCCCTCTGGTTGTAGTTCATAGGTTTCATGCAAAAGCATGTGGCTATCCCCAGGTATCGCACTTCCAACTTTCAGTCATCTCTTTTCCCAAGAGCAACGAAGGTTATGGAACAGCCCCCTCCTTTTCATCTTCCTTCCAACTTATAACATCACTTACTTTGAACGCAGCTCTAACATGCCGGTTTTAGATTGAATGTTCCTTTCGACATCCTATTTGTATCTTTGAATTATGCGATTTACTCCGTTCACTGCATTCACTTAATAAAAGTTGAATTTGTGTTTCGGGATTCGGGATGAAATCGATCTGTTTATTGCATTTCTTTACACTTCTGTGATATTTTGAAGAGGAGGGTTAGACACATTGTTGTTTTCTGCAGTACCTTTGACTCTAAACGAAATAAGGAATGACGACTGAACAACGTGTTTTCTATTTTGCAGGGTTTTTCTCCAAATTTGTGAGTCATATAGCACGGGGTTTGATGTTACCCCAGATTAAGTTAAGTAGCCCTTTGCCTGGGTATATAATTAACACTACCCCGACTTCAGCCCGATTCGCTACCTCGACACTTTAATAGGTGCTAAGTGAGCATACATTTGGATTCCTTGGTTGAGAAGTAGGCTACAAGGCTGCCCTGTTGTCTTCTGTGTGATTTTCACGGAAGATTTTGCACGGCCCCAACAGGAACTACTCTAGGGACTACCTGTCTGAATTCCCGCTGCCTTGTGCGTCAGATATTTAAGTGAAAGGCTCCGGTCAGGGTTCCCAAAGAAAAACATTTTCGTTGATGTAGGCTGCTGCGAAACATATCGTCAATTTTGTCACATCGCACAGATCCCTTAAACGCTAGCTCGTTGAGTCTGTAAAATGACCGCGAGAAGTAGCGGGTAGCAAAATATAGAAAGATGGAAAAGTCTTTGGCTTTTGATAACAGTAATTAGGATTACAAGCCTAAGGGAAGTATTCGAAAGAGTCCAACATTACTGATTCATCATTCAACAACATGGCCTTGAGCGATGTCCAGAACAGTTTAAGGCATTTTAACTGACTCCCATCGATATTAAACGTCTCAACTCCCGCCTCATCCAGGAAGTTGAAGTCAGTTGATATCTGTCCTCCATCTGAAATGAAGGTTTCCGAGAAATAAGTTGGTTCAAAAGGTATAAAGCCTCCGGTCCGCATGGGTTATCCCCATCGACTTTTAAAGCTGAGGATTCAGTCTTGGTCTTGGTCTTGGTATTAAAGAAACTCCCTGGGTTCAGTATGAGAAAGTCTGTGGTCTAAGTCGGTCATCTTACCCATTTTCAAGAAATGTGATGGATCCTCTTGTGAAAACTACAGTGGAATTAGTTTGATCAGCATTGTCTCTAAAGTTCTCGCCGGTGTTATACTCCGTCCATTACCTGCCGCACGTGCCGCGTGCATGCGTGAGAAACAAGCTGGTTTAAGACCTGTTTTAGGTTGTACCCATCATATTTGTACCCTTCGCCAAATTCTAGAACAAACATTCTTTTCGTAAACCCACCATTTCTTCTTGGGACATCTGTGGTATCGTCGCGATATCCGGCTGTCTGTGAAGAATCGAATGTATGCTACAGAGGTTCTTCCACTGCGGTCTTATGGTGGAGAAATGTGATCCTTTCGGGACCACGATAAAGGCAAACTCGTCGTTCGAACACCTGGGTACGCTGCATTGCACGAGCCTGGTAGATAGATCAGACGAGCGGTACTGCGATTAGGATCATAGTTTTAGGTAACCGCGATCGCCTACTGAAGCAAGTGGTCAACCTCCATAGAATATGCTGGTTGCGGCATGTCACCGAATAGATTGCCCTGGTGTGCGATGTTTATCGCAGCAGTTATTGCTTGGAAGGAGATGGTCAAAATATGAGGTGGCGTGCGGGCGTGAAAATCCTGATCAGGAAACTCGCTCATATAATTTGCATTGGGCTTCCCGGACGGGGACCTCAGGATCAGCGTAACCGATGGTTAGAGGCACTGAGTGACATGACTAAACCTCACAAGCAGTGGTGATCGTGCATCTTTTTAGTCTCCGCAAACTTATCGTGCCACAAATATCTATTTATCGTTTTAAAACTGCTGGGAATTCCAATCCTTCCTTTACTTCTTTATCCAAATAATTAACCAAAAAGCAGCAACCAAAACATCCACGGTATTGCATAGTTGTTGCATGGTTGTAAAACTGAACTGAACTGAAACTAGCTGTGAACCGTGCTCTGGTGATTTGTGAACTTTGAAAGCTGAATATTTTGTCCTCCTTGTGGAGCATTTCCGCTGGGATTACCTTACCCTCTTCTCTCTACGCGGTTTGTCGGTCACCTGGCATTTGTTCGATACCTTTTGATGGAAACAAGAGGCTATTGTTTGAAGTAAACATTGTTCATAATAGTGAATTCATATATTCAAGTGGTAATGAGCGAACCATTTAGGCGAGCTTACAAAGTCTGCCGTTGTCTCTAAGAAAGTAATAAAACAAAATCCGGTGATAATCACTTTGTCCTTATTGTGTATGTGTATTTTCTGTTGTGGGTGCGGCATTTTCCCCGTTGCCCACGGTGAGCAGGATGGGGTGGAGGGGGGNGGGAGTGGATACGTAAAACACTCCGTGGTAAGCTTTCGAAAAACTCCTGGTTTGCAAAACAGAAGTAGATCAAGTTTTTCAAAGTTCATGATTTTTCACCTCGTTTATCGCTCGAATATGGAATTTTTCACCTTGTTTCATTAATGGAAACAGCCTCACTTACTTCAAGATCATTATCAAAACGGGTTTGTAGAGTGCTTGGGAACAACGTTAATTTCAAAAAATTATTTTCTCCTTTCTAGGATTTCTTANTTTCTTAGACACACAGAACTCTCTGTACCAGGCTCGGGTGGAAGACATTACCATGCTCGAAGATAATTTAAATTTGGTGAGTCTACTCGCCAATGTGTGTGTGTCATCTCATAGATGTTCTTCGAAAATTGCCTCAATTCACGTATAGCTTATGGCTTTTTTTGTTTTCCACCGTGACAGGAACTACCGTATCGTCTTTGTGACTGTCTCATTTTCTGTTGATGTGTTTCAGTCATTTTAGTAATTTACTCATCTGTAGGACATCATCCAGAATCTGTGGTGTTTGGTTCATTCACATGGCTGGGGTGGATGAGTGTACTTTACTGAGCACTGGTTTATTAAACCGAACATTCAGTAACAGCTTAGATAACCGAATTAGGGCATCAGATAAACGGTAACTGTTTTTCGATATTCTATATAGCCGCGGTCAAACAAGGATCTGACATGAGGGTATGAAACCCCTAACCAGGAGGCTGGGTCACATAGGTCCCGTTAGGCTCTCTGGCTGAGGGCTCCGAGATGATGACCACCGATGGTTAGAGACACTGAGTGATATGGCTGGGTGTCGGGCTCATGCACCTACGCATTATTGTCTTAACACCAGTCTATATAAATTTTCCATCTTCCGCTTGAATTTGCTCGCAATATTCCAATCTTCATTCTGCTCTTTTATCCAAATGGGCAGCCAAAAGACAGCAACCAAAACGGGCACACGAAAGTGCATGGTTAATGGTTGCAAAAACTGTAATTGAATATAGCCATGGGCATTTACAAAATGAGTTCTGGGCTTCAATTATGACGGTTCCCTAGTTACAATATCTTTTATTTGCCTTCAGTTGCTCACTGATCATCCTTAGATATTTTGAACAAGACGTGGTTCCGATAAATAAAAACCCACTCGCTCTTATTTTAATCTGAATGTCTCCCCTCACCACAGCAGAGCTTGCCCTACCTTGCACCGCAAGGCTTTAGGCCGCATGTTAGATCTGTGCGTGGTTTGTTCTGGTGGATTCGAACGGTCTTTTTTGGTGTATGGTCTATGTCGCCCAAGTAACATTTTTGTATTTTAAATGACTACCGCACATTGTCGCCTAAAATTAATCAGTGAATAATTTTGGCTTTAAACGTATTCTCGAATCGTTTTTATTTATGTTCCAGGCATCTGCGCAGAATTTGACTTTCGGCGAGGATTTTGCTCCTTCTGCAATCGAATTGTTAGAAGAGTCTGGTCTTGCCGTTGGGTGCACAACACAGGTGAATGATCAACCTGCGGTAAAGAAAATCCCCGTTACATCTGGCTCCCTGCGTTCAATTGATGTTACGGAAGCAACGCATGAACTACCGAAGAAGCGTCGAAAGACGGAGGATGAAACACGGTAATTACGCCGTAATACACTTTTCCTCCCATTGATTTCACTTATTTTGTCACGAGTTCTAATTATTGGGATACCCCTGGATAATATTTTTCGTGGTTGTACATTCGGTAAAGCTAAAACTAAGTTAGAATGCCCTTGAAACCAAGCTGATATTAATTCTCTCATAAGACAACCTGAATTGTTGATATGTACATCACACTTGTTTAGCGATCGATTGAAACTGACCGTCGTGCTGACTTCAGCTTCACGCGCATGCGTCAGTTCTTCCAGTCAACCATACACTCAGAAGCACTGGACGCGAATTCCGCTCTCATCATTAATAGTGCATATCCACCGTCCCGTCCGGGATTTGAACTCCGGACCCATAGCATGGAAGGTGTGTGTGTTACCGCTGTGCCAACCAGCTCATGCCAGGGCTGAACCGAATTTCCAGCTCATGTTTGTTCAAGTGTCCTCTTTAGAGACAGTCAGTTAATTTTGGCCCAACAACAACGAAGGGAGGCAGTTGACGATTTGTCAACTCCAATCGAAAGCCTCCCACCAAGTCCGGTCTTTCATGCAGGTTACCGGCTAACTGGTCACAAACCTACTAGACCGGGTTAATAATTCCCATTTAACTCACACTCACTTTGGAGTTAAAGCAGTGTTAAAGCACGTGCCAGCAGTTCATTTGAACTAAAGGTCAATTAGGAACGAGACTATCTTGAGCCGGAAGCTTTCCGGGTCAAGTCACTGATACCCAGCTGTTTCTATGTAGATGCTTCACTTGAATCCTAGCCTTGACACATCCTTTCCTCTATTTCATCAGGCAACCTATTCTCTGAAAGTGGAACTAACCTGTTCGAAATCTATTGCTCACAGTTCCCCTGCTGAAATCAGGTTGGGCCCGAAACCCATAGAAATTACGTGCATTACTATTTCCTTTTTTCTGCATGTCTTTCTGTCTGTTTGAGGCTAGCACATGTATTTGAAGATTCTTCAACGTGATTCCTCGGTCAGCTTTCGTATTAGTTTATATCTTCTGCAACAGGGTAAGATCGTAGTTACACTTGAAACTAGAAAAGTGAGAAAAAGGGTTTGACAAATATGTTGCGCTTGTCACCAAATAGAAATCCACGGCTCGCGTTGTTTGTCGAGTTAGGTGATAGATGGAAAAAGGTAAAGGGTGCTCTAACTAAGAGCTAGCATAAGGGGGTGAACACCCTGATCGGGAAGCTTGCTCGTATCGGTGGCGTTAGGCTTCCCGGATCATTGTAGCGTAATTTATTTGACATACAGTCTGAACTCAGGCGTGGATGGAAAAATATATACACCCGGATGGGATCATCGGAGTGATCATAATCAAGGGTTGTAGATACAACGATATAACTGATTATCGTAAACATTGGCGCTTGTGCACCTGCTCATTATGCTTGCTACTTTAATCTTCATGAATTATCTATTTTCATTCTATTGCCGATTTGAATATGCCACTCTTCCCTTTACTCCTTTATCTGAATGGGCAATCATGAGATAGCAACCAAAACTGTTGCATGAGAGCACATGGGCAATGGTTGTAGAAACTGAAACTGAAAGTTCAGCCATTCGTGTGCAGAAAATTGCATTTAAAATCATAGCTACGTAGTGCGCTTAATTTTCCCTCCACTCAATGATGAGCTCAGAGTGCATGTGATACGGGCTGCTTGACCCAGTGGTGAGATATATCGAATTGCTTGTTCGATATTTTTCCCATTCTCATCCAGCTCTATGACACAAACATACATTCTGTATCTGAGAGTCGAGGATAGTAATACTATTACAATGTATTTTTCATTCGGCTATTTTATCCCAATGTTCTTTCTTTGCGAGAACGTCTTAGTTTCTCCGTTCAAAATTGTGCCTCTTTCCTCCAATTTCGCAGTAGAAGTGCTTTTAAAAACCGACTCATATTTCTTAGAGGTTACAAAAAGTTGAACTGTTCGAACTGTTTCGTACAACCCAGCGAAACAGATATAAAAAACTTGCAACATGCTCCGAACAGTTCAAGGGACAGCGTACCCACCACATGTTGTATATACTTAGCTAGTTCAAAATGTGAAACGCTGTTATGTGATTGGTTCGATATCGTCCGAAGCCCAATGTGATCCCAGATAGTTGTGCGGGTTTGTTACTCGAACTGCTACAACTCCCGTGATGAATAAATATTAGAAGTTATCGACATAAACAAAAGGTTTCCCCTAAATTTTTTGCAATCTTGGTCGCCTCCTAGGTGTCTTCTGTTCATCCGTTTTTTGTTAACAGCCAATTTCTGTTTGCTGTTGTATCTTCCTTGATCCTGCTATTTCGAACTCAATTGTCTTACCACTCAGTGTGCTACATCAAACCAACTGCTTCCGTACTGCTTGTGGCCAAATGTCGCTAGTTTCTCCCGAGTGATGTTTTTGCCAATCGTTTTAGGCCCTGCGAAACTGTTTCGCTCACCTTGCCTGATCTTGAACAAACGAACCAGGAACAAGCACAACAGAACGTTGAGTCGCATGTGTGTCAAGTTGTCGAACAGGAACTACTTACGTAAGTTACATTGATCCCGTTGGTTGTTGTACTCTTTGTAGGTTGAATTTAAGCATCGATTCACTCATGGGTTGCTCCGAAAAATCCCTTCCGGAAAAACCCAAACAAATTTAGATGAAAAATTTTTGTTCCGGTGCATCGATGTATGTTCACGGTTTATAAAATTGAGCAGGGTTAAAAGAACCGAAATCCATGGTCATTAGGACACAGTCTAGCATATGATTCTGCACCATCAGAGTAAAAACACAGCCAGTGATTGATGCTGCCACGGAAGTATTGGAATAGACGAGACTGGAGAACGTTTTTTTGTGTGAGTTTGAACGTGTGCAACTACGACGTTTTGTGTGTGTGTGTGTGTGTGTGCTGTATTTTCTACCACTTGGTACAGTTTTAGTGTTTCTTTCCGAGAAAAACTTCTCGTGTCTCCAATTCTCGTTGACAGTCTGTTTAAGGGATCCGCTTCGTGGCGGAATGCAAATCACCTGCGATCATACCATGAATCCCTTCGTTTTGCGTTCATTAACTGACTGCTGCAAAGAATTCATCTGTGTAAACAAAGTACTTAAATTAGAAGAGCTGATCCCTTTTTATCACAAGGATCTACTGTTCCGTTATGGGAAGTGGACACTTCAACTCCGGGGCTTGAAGTAACAAACTGTATGAGCCCTCGGTAAATTAAGTGTGCTGTTGAGCCAAACGATAGCGGAGCTGTTTGCCATCAAAGTAGACCGGAGGTGGCGGGGTGAAAAACTCAACACTGGGAGCCTGAATCATGTTAGTGCTCGTGGCTTCATCTGCATGCCCACCTTCCTGCAACCAGGTCATTAAAATTACACTGTAAGCCTAGTCGTTCTTAGCACATATTCTTGGCGGACAATCGTCACATCTTCAAACAAGGGTGAGGTGGGGAGGGGGGAGTTCCAATCAAAACGTGATGCTAATTAGATTCACTTAGGATTTATCGCTACTCCTGTGTGTACAGGAACATCCCAAGCGCTCGTGCATGTCACAGGCTAACCAAAGGGCGTCAGTGTTGGCTAAAACGAACTCTTGTTCCTCTGTGCCATCTGATTGGGTTCTGTGTAACAAACAATGACGATTGTAACCAAATTCGCTCGAGAAAACCCCTTTATTTATTTAACTCTCAATCCTTCTCTTCGTTTCCCTACCTAATAGACCCTTCGATGTTCCTGTAACCAAGGCAAATGAACTCGGTGACGTAAGTTCATACCTCGATTGACTTATGTATTACGCCAACCTTTCTGTTGCATTTGGGTAGATAAATAATCTGACAACTCTTCCATGGGCATATTGCCCATGAGAGTGTAAGGAAAATATTTAAACTAAAGTCAGTTTGTTCATTATGTGCTTCGCAAATGATATCTATCTCATGCATGACTCTATCTGCAAACTAAATCAACTGCTAGGTGAGTTTAACTCCCTACAGAAGGCCATCAAGTTTACAGAGGAAGCAAAATCAAATGGTCATATACCTTTTCTAGATTTAATCCCAACTAGATATGCTGGATCCGTACAAAGTTTACATCGTCAATACACAAATTTTCACAGCTTTGTGTCTGATTGTCTGAAGAGAACCCAGATGAAATGCCGCTTGTTCAGAGCTCGGAGAAAGTGCTCACAAGACGTACTGTAAAATAAACTCAGTTTCATCT